AGATGCTAGAGGGTAAAATGATTCAGCAGCAGTCAAACTAAACTGAGTGCAAGCCAATACAATTCAAACAAAAGATCTCAAAAGATCTATTATGGCCTTCATAGTTTAGTTTCTTAATTCAAAACCAAAATGGAATAGAGATGAAGAGTTGGAACAACAGAATATGACCTGAGGCCCCTAGTCTGTAGGTAAATCTCTATTCTGGGTACAACGGGAATGTAAGGAGATGAAGAGAAATCTTCAAGTGAAAGCACTCTATGGAAAAGAAAGTAAAAAAACAGCAGATGAGAGTAACGTGTGACTTGGAAGAAAAACTGCAAGATCCCTCTGCAAATAAACACAAGTGTAACAGGAAAGCCACCAGAGATAAGGACCAGCATCTACTTCTCGTATAATGACATCAGCTCATTCCTCACAGCCAATGAGGTCATCTTCAACTTCAGTTATAATAACAAAATGATGATGGGAATGGAAAAGCACAGTTAGGTCACCTTAGCCCTCTTCTCCTTCTCCTCCCACTTCATTACTTCCAATGAGTTCAGAGAAAATTTGCAAAGTCATATTCTTTAGTAATACTTTCAATTGTTTAGATGAAAAAGTAATAGAAATTCAATTCTTTTCTTTGAGGGACAGCCTAATCACTCAACACTTAGCAATACTGCTGAATTGACATATGTCAGACCTTTCCTCGGAGATGTCAAGTTTTCAGATACTACAGTTAGGAGAGCCCAGGGCAAATAGTCAGAAGGCAGGATCTCCTAATGTGGCCTTCCACAGTCAGGTTAGCATTGTGGAAAGGGAGAGGGAGGCTTTGATGACAACGCACACACAATTAGCCTACAGGTATTACAGTCCAATAATACTTAAATAACTTACTTCCAAAAGTGCATCTAGTTAGTCTCCTAAATCACCAGTCTCCTAAATGACATCTCCTAAACAAATTGAGTTTACAGTCACATTTGTACAATTTAGCTTATATTCACAGGACTGCAGTTTCACATGACTGACTCCACGAATATGGAAAATGGAACATCGAAAAGTCAAGGGAATATATTGAATATTTATCAGTTAGGCAATAAACTCAAAAATAAACATTTATGTCAGCCTAAATAAACTTTGAAGCTCAAGAAAACAATATTAAGAGTTCCAAAGAACTGAGGATCCAGGAACATATTTCATTAGGACTCATTTTAAGGTTCTTCCAATTACATGCTGTTTACTGTTACAAATACATGAAGTTTGATTAAAAGAAAAGTATCGAACATATTCCCAGTGATACAAGAGTTAATTCTGCTGGTTACACCAATGGATCTATAAATTGTTCTTAATTATTAATTCTGGGTTATTTTATCATAACTTCAGACACCCTCTCTGCAAAACCTAGATCATTGAAAGCAGATACGGAATGTGCACAGCACCTGTCCAAGGCAAAGATATACAGGGGGAAAATAGCAAAAGCACTTAATAGAAGAAACATTAAATTCCTGAGGACTTCAAAAAAACTTCCAGGGAACTCAAGGCAAAAGTCAACAGTGAATCTTCATGTATCAGGATGCACCCACTGACCTGGAGCATGACTGTACAAAGTGTATGGCTGCGGGTTTTGTTTTGTTTTTAGAACATCTACGTGTTACATGTGTTCCAGCCATGTCAACCTTTCCAGTCAAAAACTTTCCAGAAACATGATGCCTACCAAAGGGACAAAGGCCCAAAGTAACTCCTGGATACCCCTCAGTTTAGCCACTCTTGATTAGTGCCAGTCATAGCAGAATGCGCCCAATCCATTGTTTGCCTTAAGTTTCTGGGATACTGTCAGTTACATGACAACATCAGGGAGGAATAAAGAAGGGAAGGAGTAAAGAAGGGAAAAGGTAAAAGAAAAAAAACCCCATCACTATGGTCCGTGGCACTGTGGTCTGTCACGGAGACTGGGGAATGATCTAGTTCACTGTCTCATACCTTTCAAAAGCTAAAAAGCATATGAAATTTTAGGAGCTTGTTTCAGAAAAAAAGATACCTGTTCACACAAAGCACAGTTAAACAGTGGAACTCATTACCACAGAACATAGGAGGCACAAAAAGTGCATGTGGGTTCAGAAAAGATTAGCTAAATTCATAGAGCTACTCACTACTCATAGACACACACTACTGATCAGACAAATACTGAGTCAAATGGATTTATGGTCTGGCCCAGCATGGTTCTTGCATCAAGCAGCTGGCTGCACCACTTCCAGTCAGATGGCTGGAAATAGTTCTAGAAATACTGGAAGTGTTTTCAGAAAAAAAACTGAACTAAATGTACATATTTGCCGAGGTTGGCAAAAATTTTTGGGAGAGCGTTATACAATATAGCAATAGACTTTTGGGATGCTTTGAGAAGGATCTTATTTTAAAGCAGCTCCTGAGACTGCACTGCTCACTAGAGCAAGCAGTAGCTTGGTAGGGAAGGTTATTTCCTGTATGATATAGAAAACATAAGCAGAGGTGAAGATTTAAATAAGACAAATAAACCACTCAAATCTATGATAGAAATCTTGCTGGTAGCGTACTTGGTGACATTTGGTAGTCAGGAAATCTGGAGTGACCAAAGGCCACGGTAACAGCCAGGCACACAGTGTGAGCAGACACTATATAAACTTTCCTCGGCAGTTCTGCCAACACATCTCAGCTCTAACATTCAGTGCTCACAACGATCCGATTTTGGCCTCAGCAACACAGAGGGCCACATTTTTAAAAAGAGTCTAATTTTATGCTCATGAAGTTCCCATCTAGCCAACTGACTCCACGTGTGGCCTGTGCAAACCAGATACAGTGCAGTTATTTTCTGAATACCAGTTGTCACAATTAAATAGAAGCTAAATGGGAATTCCAGTTTCAACTTTGCAAACCCTTCAGATATTCTCTGTCAAAAAGGCTAAAATAAAATGTTTCTTTCTACCTGCTAATCATGTGACTCACCCAAGGGATGCGAAAACCAAACTTCCCTTTTTGCCAACGTGTGCATTATCACTAACTTAAGAAATAATCCTGCAATCAAAATAGAGTATTTTCTCCTTGTGGTGTATGTGCTAGATCAAAATCTAACTCTACCACACCACTGGGAATTGTGCAGTATTAGCAGGAGGGAAACACACTAAATGCAGAAAAGAAAGATGATACAACTCAAAAAACATGAAGGAAACATTAAGCACCATTTTATAAGTAGTTTTCCTGACCATGCCTTTAATACCTGGTGCAGTACTGTGATTGGCACTGAAGATAAACCACCACTTTTCATACCATTCCTTTCACCCTCCTACTTTGCAGAAAGTATAGAATCAGTAAGCAAAGACTCCATCACGTACCTCCCCGAAGCTAAAAAGTTCAATACTACATGCTCACATCCCAACTGATTACAACCAACTCCATAATAAATGTTATTGTTCCTTCTCATGAGGTGCTACTGTACATGTTTTGCTTAAGGTGCCAGAATTAAACAGGGTAAGCTTAAGCAGTTTAACAGGGTATCTTTGCTAGTCCACTCAGGATGCAGAATGGTCGCATGAGCAGCTCAGCAAGCAGATACTGAGGTAAAAAACCCCCTCTCTTAAGGAAAATAATCCCTTTAGCTGGTACGTCAGGAGCTGAAAGGGGACATATGAACAAGCCCTGCTCTATAATGCCCTTCTGCCAGGCAACCGCTGCTGGCTGGCATGCTGGGTAAGGTGAATTCTATTTCCTATCCATTTCCTCATGAAGGGAACAAGCCCCGCAATACTTGCTCTCCCCTTCATGCTACAGCAATTATGTTAGAGTGCTTTGAGGCCATAGCACAGACTTACATCTCTGGGTGACCACATTCGGAGACCCCACAATCTGTGTTTTCCTGATCAGTCAGGCACTGATATTCCAGACCTTGCAATATTAAAATGTTTTAAACACAATGGATTCATTTAAGGTTTTTACAGCTTCACTTTTTATTATTTATAAAATGACTGACATACGATACTCATAGCTCAAGAAGGAAAGAACTTAGAGATGGATATTTGTATTTCAGTATAGCATCTACAAACAACATTAATTATCCTCTATGATCATTCATCTGTCAGTGCCTGCTTCTACCAGTTAATTCCTTTGACTTTCCCCAGTCTGCACCTTGTTACTATATGACATTTCATGTTTGTATGGACAGGAGACTTTGGCTGCTTGAAATTGGCAGCAAGTAATTTCATTTGGGCTTTGTTAAAATGACAGCAAGGATCATTGAGACCAAATATAAAAGCCAGATTGGAGAAGGCTATAAAAAATTCAAGTGGCAAGCATTTCTCCTTTTATCTGACAGTTATTATTAAAAGGCCATATGTCATTCTGTAACACACAAAATTTAAACTCAAGAGACAGAGGTAGAGTTCCACATTATGAACAGAGCACCTTCCCTCAACAGACGGTCTGCTTCCTACAGATGGGACAGAACTAAATTGAAGCTCTAACTGAACAGTTTCTCTACCAGCAGTGAAAGACATCACACATCCCCAAACTGTTGGATGCAATGCCTCAAAGGCAGTACCTCTGGCCAGGATACCCAATGCTGAGATGGTGCTGTTGCTATAAATCCATCCCAGAAGTAGCACCTACACCCCTGTAAGCATGCCCAGCTAGAGCAGCGGGAGCAGGAAAGACGCTTCCATAACCAAATCCTAGGATACTTTGAGGATTCATTCATTACCTGCAACTGAATTTGCATGTATACCCAACCTTAAAATCAGGTAAGAAAGGCATATGAAATGTTTCAATCAGGAAACACTAAATTTCAATAAAGTCAAAGATATTTCTAAATAATTGAGAGGGAAAAAAAAAGAACCTCAAACCATTTTCATCACAACTTAAGGCTGGCCTTACTTAGCATACCTTTGGGTTCAACACTAAGGCTGAAGACTTTTGTTTTAGAAATTTCGTTCTCAGACATTAACAAAGGGCATTAATCATTAGTACAAATGCACCACAGTCTTAGATGTACTCACTTCCTTTATCCACAGCAATTTAGGTGGCTGCATTTCCACAGACATCACTCCCCCTACATAGCTCAAAACCCTGTGTTGCGTTGCATTGATGCGCTCAACTTGACTGACTGCACGATGGTCCATCCACATAATAATATTCCTGTAGTTTTGTCCTTGGGGGGGTGGGGAAAAAAAAAAAAAAATATATATATTATTTTAGGTCTGGTTCAACCCTACCTCAGTATTGTAAGTTACTAGACTATAAACTGCTTCATGCTTTCATTTCTACATAGAAAAGTGAAATTCTACTTGTGTTAATAATCCACAGCAGATATTTAAAGATAAAATTCTAGCCCTCTCAGACAACTCTAAGACATGCTGGGCACTGAGAATGCTACTGAAACCAATCCGGCTTGTGAGCATCCAAGAACTTTGAAACGCCATGCTCTTGTAGATCATATGTCATTCAAAGAACCCAAACTTCTCAACAAAGTACACATATTTAGTTAAAAATATAAAGAAGCATTTTGGTGACTAAGAACTAAAAATGTGACAAAATCTGAGCAATTACGTTATAAACTGAAATTAACTCAGCTAGTCAGCTAGCTAGTTACAGGGATTCTCTTTCCTCTTCTTTTTATGAGAAGAACTACCCAGATTTCTTTCAGAAATACTGTTTCAGGGGCGATAATTTGCTGAAATGCTTTTATTTTGGACATGGAAGGAAAAAGCATTTGGCAAGTCTGCATAACACGAGAGCAAGAAGCAAAGAATATTTTATCGAAATTAACCTACAGAGGACCTGCTAGGCAGGCAGAACAATGATCCAGATGACACTTCAGATTCCTCTTGTGGTTTAACCCAGCAGGCAGCTAAACACCACACAGCCGTTCACCCACTCCCCCCCTCCCCAGTGGGATGGGGAAGAGAATTGGAAAAAAGTAAAATCTGTGGGCTGAGATACAGTTTAATAAAAGCAGGGGAAAATAATAGTAGTAATGATTATGACAGAAGAATATACAAAACAAATGATGCACAGTGCAATTGCTCACCACATGCCAACTGATGCCCAGCCCATCCCTGAGCAGTGATCACTACTCCCCAGCCAATTCCCCCCAGTTTATGTACTGAGCATGACATCATATGGTCTGGAATCCCCTTTGGCCAGTCTGGGTCAGCTGGCCTGGCTGTGCCCCCTCTCCCAGCTTCTTGTGCACCTGGCAGAGCATGGGAAACTGAAAAGTCCTTGACTAGTGTAAGCACTACTTAGCAACAAATAAAACATCAGCCTGTTATCAACATTATTCTCATACTAAATCCAAAACACAGCACTATGCCAGCTACTAGGAGGAAAATTAACTCTATCCTAGCCAAAACCAGGACACTCCCTTGCTAAGTACACGGACAGTCAAATTCATGACACAGTCACTCATGCATAATCTTGAAAACATACTCCAAGACAAGGCAGAAGTATAAGGCACACCAATATTTCTAACATGGATTCAAGTACAACTTAGAACTGTAAGACTGCCTGAAACCAGATTGTTGCATGCCCATACCAGTATGACAGTATTCAGTGCATTCTTGTCTCTTTATTTAACAACACCACTGCGTAAACTCAAAGTTCTTGGGGATATCAGAGAATAAAAACTGAGAACCGAATTTGACTCAATAGACCAAAATAGCCTCAGACATCATCAGGCATTGAACTGATTGTAAGAGGCTCTCACGCTGAAAAATAAATAATCTCGTCTAAATTTAGCGAAGGACATTTTGGGGGCAAAGCTGGTTTTTTGAGAAGGATAGGAGGATATGACAAAAACAGCTGAGAATAGAAGAGGAACATCAACAGAATTGTGATTAAGGCTCTGTAACTACTGATTTAGCACACACCTAATCTTAAATGGGATTCACTGAGAAACAGTGCATCACAGACTTCTTGAGTCTTCTGAATCATCTGCTCAAAAGCTAGTAAAAAAAAAATTTTTTTAGAAAAAGGTCTGACTGTTTCTGAAGTTTAGCACTGTCCTACACAAAGACAGAACACCAGCGCAGTAAAATACAGAAGCTAAATCTCTTACCTGCAACTCCATGACAGAGTAAACAGTTAGACTATACTAACACTACATTTTTAGTATTCCTTTAGCCAGGTTGGATGGGCATTTATACACATAAAAGTGTATAAAGAAAGAAAGTCATGATTAGTAAAGTCTGAAGGAGAAAGCATTCACAAAAAAAAAAATGAGCACAGATTTTTCTAAGACACAGTATCTCTGATCCAAGATGAAAGAATTTAATCTTAGGATGCTAAACATTTAGCCAAGCAGTAAGTAATTCTCATCTCAAATTTAATTTTGCAGTAGAATTAAAATAGTAAAACCAGAAAAAAAATTGTCTTGTAAAGAAGGTTTTCTATTATCTATATCTCCAAGAGTCAACTCCATAACTTGGTATTTGGATGAAATTGCTAAGTTCATTCATGTCAGTGGCAAAACATATACAGTAACACCAGTTTTTGTGCTGGAGTCCTACCTTCACAGTTGACTGCCAAAGGTTGGAACTGTTTATCCACAACAACAAGTGAACATGTAGCATCAAAACCAACCCCTCGAATCTGGCTGGCATCTACTCCACAGACAACTTTCTGCAAATGCATAAAACGCACATGAATAAAAACATATTCATATATATGCATGTACCATGTGAACTAATGAATACAGAAAATGAGGTACAAATTAGAAATGCAAGCTCAAATTCCAAAATTTTTGAGATTCAGTATTCTTTACCATCTCTAATAAAAAATACACCAAATTACCAAAAATTCTTCGGTCTTCAAAACTGAATTCAAAGGTCCATGAAAAGTTCTTTAATAGCTTTTTAATCTTACTAGCCACACCCTGGATGAAAGCAGGAAGCACAAACATATCAGAAAATAAAGGGAGCAGAAAACTAGCAATGTTCATTTTCTCTCTTTTCTAAAAGCTTGGAGTTGAGCTGTGTGTGAAACATGTATACGGGATTAGGGCCAAACGTTTCCATCAGTCAATTCACTCAGTTCCCACCTGCGGAAGCAATGATCTTCTAGAATTGCTTTGGTAATATTGTGCCACAGCTTTTTGTCTTGCAACAGCGAAGGGTCCCAAAAATAAAGTCGGTCAAAATCTATAGCAGTGATAATAACTCTGCAATGCACGCATTTTCAAAAGCTCTGCTATCAAGAGTTTGGATAACATACTTTTTGGAAGATTTTCCAAAAAAATCACCACCCCAAAAGGGCTGAGCTTCATATCTTCCAGCAGCACTGGAAAAAAAACCACAACACCCACATGGATGAAGTGCCAAGTGAGGTTGCAAGACACCTAAAATGTAATGCAGTAATAAATTGACACTTCTCAGCAACAATAAAAATATCTTTGTTTTAATTAGTTCTATAACGAAAGACTTTCACTAGACTTGCTACAGTGCCAGTCTCTTATTGGCTCTGTAAAGCTATAGTTTCAGAGACCATATTTTATTGCTTACGTACAAAAGATTGTATTTAAAGAGGTTCAGAGCAAGAACAAAGCAATTCACAAAGAGAAAAATCAAGTAAGCAGAATAAAAGACTTGTTCTAACATCAAGATGCTCTTCTCTATCACTACTGTCACTCCCTTCTTTTCCTTCCTTCCCCCTTACCTTGTCTCCTTCATCTCAGGGCATTTCTGCAGAGCCAAGCTCATTAATGTTTGAAAAGACTGATCAATAACAAGAGAATGGGTGAACTGTCCATCTGCAAATTACCAAGCATATCATGAATTTTTAAAAAGCCAACCTTAGAACATGGAGCAGGCTGAGGCTTTATTAAGAAGGATGAAATGGCCTACATATGCACTGCCAAGCAAGGTCACTAATTTACTTTTACCACCACCATGTACAGGCAGATCGTTGGATTAGAGGGTACAAATTTTCCCTTGTACGAAGGTTTATTTCAGTCTGGTTTTAGGCTTGATACTATCCACAAATGTATATAATTTATTTTGGTCTTATACTACTGGTCAGGCATCTTAATGAGGATCACAGGTGACAGACATTATGTTAGGCACCATCCACATACCAGATTAAAACTTTTCTACAATCAACACTCCTTTGTGACTCCAGTGCAGCACAACACACATCTTTAAATATATGCAGTACCAGATTCTAAGCTACCTCGACTCCTCAAAGAGCTGTCTCATGGCTAGAAGATACACCAGCTAAACAAAAACCACAGATGTGAATCCTGAAAGCAGCAGATAAATCCTCCTCCTGAGCTAAGAGAACAAAGGAAGGTCTTTCATTCTACTTTCAGTTGTAGTACAAGCTTTTTTCAGTCTGGCCTTCAGCTCCTCACCTATATAACAGACATTGTGAGACTACATCAGCCATACCCTAAAGGTGCCTTTAATGCACGAGGATAGTTACAAGTTATACAGTAATACAGCACGCACAGAATTGGATATTAAAGGCCCGTGACTGGAAGGCCTCAGACTTTCAAAACTTGAAGAGCTACCTTGCAACACATCTTCATTTTCTTTGCATACCTTTGTGACCAAGCAACAAGCAGCCCATATGTCAGCAGAGGATTGCTCGTAGTGGTCTGGTTGGGGCTCCCAAATTTGGATTGGCTGGTCTGCATGTGCCACAACTATCCCAAACTCATCTACCAAAGCCGCACGAACACTTGCCGACCCAACATCAATTCCAACATAGTATTTTACTGGAGCCTGCTTCTTACTGTTCATTTTTAATAAAACCTGTTGGGGGAAAATAAAAAAAAAGGTTTAAAAACAGATAAAATGGCTGATGGAAAGCTGTGCTGAAGAGGAGTGATGCTGTGCAGACACTTTTCTTGATAACTCTTTTTCAGCGAGTCTTCACTTGTTATTATTTAATTAAAGTTTTCAAGTCTTTCACTACTTGTACCTTTTTTCTTCAAATGTTTGTATGTAAGTTGCATAGTGCCAAAGTTCCTGAAAAACAATTTGTCAATTTGCATGTAAGAATATGTATACTACAATAAAAGTTCATGGGACTCATACAGTCAAGGAACTGAGCCGTGGTCATACGGTATCACATCTATAAAACGGGAAAAAGAGGGAAGGAGATAGGAAGGGAAGGAAAGTGTATGGTTCCAAACTCAGTGGCAGTCAGGGACTGGTGCTTTACACAGAGGGAAATTTCAATCCAGAGACTCCAGGGTTTTTCTGAATTCAGGCAGACAGGGAAGTTGCTGATGACCATTAAGTTGGATTCACCTCTGGAGAAGACAGCAAGTACCACCACGGATATGTCATTGCCTCAATGCAAACAAATCATATTCCTGTAGCAGTGAAAAGGGTGGTGTGCCTGGCTCCCCTGAACCCTGAACTGAAGAGGAATGAGGAGCCAAGAGCTGCTGCTTCCCACAGAGCCAACCAGATAATGTGTGGCATATTACTGCTGAATGAGACAGGGAGTCAGGCTGGATTTCTGCACAATCTGGAAACAGTTTCCTCTCCCCCCAAAAGTGGTGTGATGCTGATAATTAAAATAACTAAGTGACAATCTGGCACATATTACCCAATTTTGAGTCCCGCAAAGAAAAAAAAAAACCACCTGAAAAACAAACTGGCTAGGTTTTTCAGAGCTATCCACCAACAATCCACACAATTTTAAAGATCCTGAAAACAATTTGCTGAAAATGTGTTGAGTTATGAGAGCATCCCAGGAAATCCCTGCCTACTCTCTGACAATCTACAAGGACAAAGTGAGATTAAGTTAATTGATTTAATTATTCACAATGAATTGCTTACTTCACTATATTACGTTTAACTATTTGGCATTTAATACAGTGACAAATGCACTGTACTTAATTTCTCACATTTTGTCCTTAATTAATAGTTAACATTTCCATTGTAATCAAGCTGGAAGGATGCTAAGTAAGAGCTGGTACAAAGTATTTAAAATGTCAGACAAGTACCAAGTTTAGTGCTTGTATGACTCTCCTAATAAGCCTCTAAAACACACAAAACTCAGACAATGCATAGTTTCTCATTTCCAGAAAATAAATGGATCGATTATAATTTGATGAGTACACAGTATTTACTGAGCACCGAAACGGCTCTTCTTAAAAACAGTCCATCTCTCCCAAAGATGTGACCCGGATTACTTTTGTGTATGGAAGATGGGTTGTTTAGAGGGAGGGACATGGGCAAAGGGAGAAAGATTTGGAAAGTACTGCTAGGTAAAACAGTTCGCATTTCAAATTCATCCTACATGTATATAATTTTGAAATAACTAGAGTTTAGTGGGAAAGTATACCAAAAGCCTGATCAAAAAAGCAGTAGAACAGAAAATGGGAAAATTCTGTCTCTACCTTTAGACAATAACAGCTGATCATATAGCCATGTAAATTGTACTCAATTTTGGAAGCAATGTTTTTACTTGTTTTATATCTACGAGACAGAAAACCAACCCTTTTTTTTTTTTCCATTAAATATCTTGAGTATGGGTTGAGATCCATCCTTGGGTGGCAATTCGAACATAGTGTTGGCACAATATAAGTGGCTGTTCACATCTATGGTTGGCTTGTAACCACTGCTGTTGGTGGCTATCACAAATCTATTGTCACGGAGGGTTAGAGGTAACAGGTGAAATAGAAGAAAAAAAAGGGGAGGGAAAGTCAGCCCTGTATCTCAGAAAACTCCAAGCATCATCCTGGATAATAACTAAGCATTGTAACAGCTGAATTAGGACAAAGTTTCATTTGCAATTAAAACAGCATAAGCCAAAACCTTGGCTAAAGAAAAGTACCCAGCTTTCCCTCATCCTGCCCCTTAAGAGGTACACGGAAATGTAGTTGGTCTATGAAGATCTGTTATCAGAACCTTCCCCACAGGATCATTTTGTACCGCCTGAATCTGTCATTTCATGCTTATAGACAACCACTGCTAGGGGCCAGGGACCATTTTTTTTTGTTCTTCGTTTGGACAGCATTAGCATGAGGGAGTTCTGTCCCATCACTAAAGTGCCTAAGCAGCCCAGTACAAACCAAAGCAGTTATCACATCGCATTTTGCATGCACCATGGCAGGGTCACTAGAGGAAGCTGTACAGATCATTAGCTTCTAACAATATCAGAAACCAGAAAAAACTCAAAGCTGTAGAGCATATTGTGGTACTGATGGAAATACTAGCTACTCTCTCTCAGCATTCTGATTCTGCCCAGTAGATTAGGTGCAATACACACTAATCTTGTTAAGCAAGGTCATCTGTTCAAGCGATGAGCAATCAGCTAAAAATAATGGTGTGCCATGAGTCCAACACCTAGGAATATTGGCAAGAAAGCTCACTTTATTTTCTTGGCCCTGGCTCTATGACCTGGTCAGACTAACAAAAGCTAATGCCTCTGTCACAGGACAATCCTCCTGATATCAGTGATTAATACTACATCTGTCAGCTGGGGATACTTACAGCATTTTGCATCTTCCTCTTAGCCCTTGGCTGTAAAAGCAGTTTTAAGACATTCTTTTCAACAGATGATGTTCACTTTTTAATTTTGCACTCCATCTCCTCAAAGCTTAAAAGGCTGGCTGCAGATGCTGCCAGCTACTTGCAAGAAATTTTACTATAAAGAAATTGCCTAAGACTGTTCCTGATACTATCTTACAAATTTCCCTGTTTTTCCCTATTTCAGCACTGCCTTTAGCTGCTGACTCATAAAAAGAAGAGAATAAACCACAAGCTGCAAAGCAGTTTTTTTTCTTTAAACATAGACAAATCTTTCTTACTTGCTTTTCACAAAATACAAGTAGCAAAAGGAGTATTTTACATCCTGCCTCCTTCTCACACACACACACAGTATTACTCTAAATTTTTATTTCTCTTCCCTGCATTTTAGCTCATTAATGTGTTTTTGCTACTTTGAGAACAAGGTTAACAGATGTTAGAGAATTAAGCTCATAGTATGTCCTACTCAGCACTTAAAATTATGGCTTTGCATTGGATTCTACCCACAAACATTTGAAACCTGGAACCCAATCAGCCCATGTAATGTTTACTTTCCTTTTTTCCTTACTAAGCAACCAGGATGCGCATGTGTGAGTGACTGCGCAGGAAGCAGTTTGTTTATATGCTGAAGCAGTACATATCAGTCTATCCATATCCACTATTTTATTTCTGTATTATCGGTGGACAACTAGCAAGAAAGAGTTCAGTGACAGAGTTCAAAAACAACCACAAACCTATTTAAACTAGTCTTTCTCTGAGTAAAACTCACCTAGATCTACAAAGCAATGTTTCAGTATCTTATGAAAAAAGGCTAAAAAAAGTAAATATTAAACCTTTTTTCAAGCACAGCAAGCACTAAGTTACCAAGCCTGTTCAAAGTATAGTGTCTCTGCAATAGGATCTGATTTGCTTGCAAAAACATCATTTGATGCCAAGGGTTTTTCTGGAATACCAATCACTTGGTATGCCACCTACTTGTCAGACAGATCCACAAAAAGCACTGTCATCTCTAGGTCATGAGTGTCACCCATTAGGGACTCTGCCTAACAGTATTTCTTGAGAGCCTAAGAACTCAGCAGTGAGGCTGGTGGAAAATGTATAGCCACAGTACTTTATTAAGAATGTAAAGAGGAATGCTGTAATTGGTTTTGTTTACAAAAGATTCCTTTAGTACAAGAGCAGGCCCCAAAACAGAAATGAAGAAACTCTTTAACAGAGTTCAGAGGTAGAGGAAGGTCCCAGCACAAACCTCCTGCTTTGGAATCCAGACATCAACGACACTGCCACATGCAAATAAATTTTGGTTGTGCAATTAAAACTTTGCTTTGGATTTTGTATCAACTGGCACACGGCTTCTGCAGTCAATGCAATCGTGAGAAAAACAGTGAACCAGAAAAACAGTTGAAATAAAAAGTCACAGAATCACAGAAATAAAAAGTCATCAAGGCTGAGTCCGACAGGTCAATTCCTTGAGCACAATATTCCTAACAATACACCAAAATATTTGATACACGAATGATGCAAATTCATGGACTTCCCAAGTCGTGGAAAGCGGTGGTGATAATACCACTACCTTTTATACCCCTGAAGTATCTAATTCAGGAAGCCTGGCTTCTTGCAGCCAAGAAAAAAGACCCCCAAAACTTCAATACAGCTTTGTCTGTCCATGGCAGAATTAGGGCCTCATATTTACACCTTATTGTTTGAATTTGCAAACAGAAAGAGAGGAAGAGAGAAAAAACAATTTTTAAAGACATGTCCAGCTTGACCATGTTAGTCCATGACTACAACTGCTAAGACAGGACAAGAAGCCAAAATTCCCTCCAAGCACTAAACCAGCAATGGCCTCCTTCTTTGCAAATCACAGCAGGGACAGAATGGCTTTTCAAACAAGCATTTATGATCAAAGGGCTGCAGCATATGATAAATATTTATATGGCCCATTAAATAATAGTCTGTATAAATATTATTCAAAATGCGCATGCTGGAAACCACAGACTTCCCAGTTTATCCTTAAACAAATGTGCTAGTTTTCCCACATAGAGAATGAAAAAAAGGAGGGGTGAAACTGTCATTTGCAAAAATATTTCTTTAAAAAAAGAAAATCCTTAACATCGTTTACTTTAGTTTAAAAGGAATGACTAAGTAACCAGATGACTGCTTCATCACAACTAACTACTAAACTCAGTTTGTCCTACCTTACTTCATGGTTATCAAATTGCCAGAACATACCTTTCTGTTAAAGCTACAGTACTGGAAGGCTGCAC